ATAAAATAAAATAAAATATATTTTTCCTGTAAGTAGTGTTTGCAACAAACTTTTTCATTTAATGCCATAAAATGACATGTTTTAATTTTCATATATAGAAAGTTATTTATTTTTTAATGAATTCTATCTGGTATATTATTTTATAGATGTTATTTATTTAACCAGTCTCCTATTGATTTGTATTTGCTCTTCCAAATGGTGCAACGTTAAACATTCTTTAGAGATGGAGAATAACATACTATCTAAGAGTATAAATCCTATAGCCAAGCTGGCTGGGTTTGAATCCTGACTCTGCCACTCACTAGTGTCATGACTTTGTGCAAGTTCCTCTTTGTACCTTAGTTGTCCCATCTGTAAAATGGGGATAATAAAAGTACCTACCATTTAGTGTTATTATAAGGAATAAATCAAATAATTTAGATAAAATACTTGACACAATTCCTGGCATAATAAAGCACTCTATAAATGTATGTTGCTATTATATCTTTATTTGCATAAATCTATCTCTGAGATGAATTTCTCTACGTGGAACATCTGCGTTTAAGAATATGTGTATTTAAAATGTTGAAAGATAGTTTGTCGATTAGCTCACTTGGTTAGAGTGCAGTGCTATAACCCCAAGGTCAAGGGTTCTATCCCTGTACGAGTCAGCCACCAAAAAATATATAAATAAATAAAATGTTGATAGATATTGCTAAATTCTCATCAAAAGAAAACCTGTAGTAAAGTGTGCATGTCCCTACATTGCAGCACTGGGTACTAGCAAATATTTTAATCCTTGTCAATCTGATTGATAGAAAACTGCAGTCTAGTTTGATATTCATTTCTTAAATTATAACATGTTGAACATTTCCTCATGTATTTATTGGTTCCTCATAAGTTTTTTTTTCTGTGAACTGTGTGTTTATTTTCTGTGCACATTTATCTATTAGGTTGATGTTATTTTATTACCTATTTTAAGTTATTTGTATAATGAGTAAATGACTCCTTAGTCATATACTCTTATGTTGTAAATATTTTCTATGTTTGACTTTTGTATTGGCTTTATTAGGGTATAATGAGCAAACCTTAACAGTCACCTATTTTAAGTGTGGAATTGAATACATTTTGACAAAAGTATGTCATTATGTAACCACCACCACAATCATGATATAGATCATCCCCCCCCACACACACAATCCCATTTTTGTGCTCCTTGACACTCAGTCCCCTCCCCTAGACCCCTTAGGCCCTGGCAACCCAATCTTTCTGTCATTACAGTTTTTCCTCTTCTAGGCTTTCAATTAAATGGAATCATCCAGTAAGAAATTTTCGCCCATGCTTTCTCTACTTAGCCTATTGTTATTGATACTCATGTTGTGTGCGTATCAACAGTTTATTCCTGTTTATTGCCAAGTATCTGTTTGACACTTGACTTTATTCTTTTTTGTCATACATGTGTTTTTCATCTTTATGTAGCCAAATTTATTAATCTTTTATTACTTCTGGATGTTGTAATGTATCATGTTTAGAGAGATGTAATTCTTTCTTAAGCTCACAAAAGAAATTCAATAATGCTTCCTTCTAGTNTATAAATAAATAAAATGTTGATAGATATTGCTAAATTCTCATCAAAAGAAAACCTGTAGTAAAGTGTGCATGTCCCTACATTGCAGCACTGGGTACTAGCAAATATTTTAATCCTTGTCAATCTGATTGATAGAAAACTGCAGTCTAGTTTGATATTCATTTCTTAAATTATAACATGTTGAACATTTCCTCATGTATTTATTGGTTCCTTGTAAGTTTTTTTTCTGTGAACTGTGTGTTTATTTTCTGTGCACATTTATCTATTAGGTTGATGTCATTTTATTACCTATTTTAAGTTATTTGTATAATGAGTAAATGACTCCTTAGTCATATACTCTTATGTTGTAAATATTTTCTATGTTTGACTTTTGTATTGGCTTTATTAGGGTATAATGAGCAAACAATAACAGTCACCTATTTTAAGTGTGGAATTGAATACATTTTGACCAAAGTATGTCATTATGTAACCACCACCACAATCATGATATAGATCATCCCCCCCACACACACAATCCCATTTTTGTGCTCCTTGACACTCAGTCCCCTCCCCTAGACCCCTTAGGCCCTGGCAACCCAATCTTTCTGTCATTACAGTTTTTCCTCTTCTAGGCTTTCACTTAAATGGAATCATCCAGTAAGAAGTTTTCGCCCATGCTTTCTCTACTTAGCCTAGTGTTATTGATACTCATGTTGTGTGCGTATCAACAGTTTATTCCTGTTTATTGCCAAGTAACTGTTTGACAGTTGACTTTATTCTTTTTTGTCATACATGTGTTTTTCATCTTTATGTAGCCAAATTTATTAATCTTTTATTACTTATGGATGTTGTAATTTATCATGCTTAGAGAGATGTAATTCTTTCTTAAGCTCACAAAAGAAATTCAATAATGCTTC